CCCAGCTGCCAGCCTCATCCCTGCTGGCCTCAGCCCTGCCGGCCTCAGCCCTGCCGGCCTCAGCCCTTCTTGGGCTCCGTGTCCTCTCCCTTCCCTTCTCTCATCTGCCAACTAACTTTCGTGGTGCCAGCACCTCGATTGGTTGGTGATGGGGTGAGTGAGTGGCCACGAGCCTCTTGTACGCGCTTGGGGAAGCAGCTTCTGGCACAGTCCCCATGAGCATCACCCCGTCAGCCTCACTCCTGCTTAGCTTTGCTGCTGTTCACAAACTGCTGAGTGTCCAGCTCAAAGCCAACCACTGCGTTTTCCCCTTACCTTTAGAGCTCGAGCGTTTGCTGGCACTGAGCAACGAGATAAAGAACCCCAGTGAGTATGAGCACAGGGCACGTGCACAGGGGCCGCCCCAGCAAGGACGCGCGCAGGTGCCGTGAGGCCTTGGCTGCAGGGATGGCCCCCAGACCTGTGTCCCGCATACCCCGGGCCCCCAGACCTGTGCCCCGCAAACCCCGGGCCCCCAGACCTGTGCCCCGCACACCCCGGGCCCCCAGACCTGTGCCCACACACCCCGGGCCCCCAGACCTGTGCCCACATACTCCCCGGGCCCCCAGACCTGTGCCCACACACACCCTGGGTCACCAGACCTGTGCCCATACACACCCCGGGCCCCCAGACCTGTGCCCATACACACCCTGGGTCACCAGACCTGTGCCCACACACACCCCGGGCCCCCAGACCTGTGCCCTGCACACCCCGGGCCCCCCAGACCTGTGACCCACACACCCCGGGCCCCCCAGACCTGTGCCCTGCATACCCCGGGCCCCCAGACCTGTGCCCACACACACCCTGGGCCCCCAGACCTGTGCCCATACACACCCTGGGTCCCCAGACCTGTGCCCATACACACCCTGGGTCCCCAGACCTGTGCCCACACACCCCGGGCCCCCAGACCTGTGCCCTGCACACCCTGGGTCCCCAGACCTGTGCCCACACACACCCCGGGCCCCCAGACCTGTGCCCACACACACCCCGGGCCCCCAGACCTGTGCCCATACACACCCCGGGCCCCCAGACCTGTGCCCATACACACCCCGGGCCCCCAGACCTGTGCCCACATACACCCTGGGTCCCCAGACCTGTGCCCCGCACACCCCGGGCCCCCAGACCTGTGCCCATACACACCCTGGGTCCCCAGACCTGTGTCCACACACCCCGGGCCCCCAGACCTGTGCCCCGCACACCCTGGGTC